TACTTTTCTGATGTACCCCGTCTGTCTTCCATTGAGCATCCCAACTAAAGACAAGGTTCTAGAAAAAAAATACGTTGGGTAGCTCTGACGTAGAAATGTTTGGGCTACAAAATGGTACGAAGACATCCACGGAAAAACAGCGGTTACTACTTGAGATATGGAGAAAACTAACACGTACACATAGGTTTTTTTATATTTCTGTAACATATTCAGTATTTAACGGTCAAAAATATATTATTCGGAGGAAAACTAATATGATATTCCGAATTAGCATGGAAAACTGAGTGCACACACATATATTTCAAGTGTTTTTTTAAACTTTTGTTGTTATCCATAAACTAAGTCCTGGTACCGCCCAGCGTCAAGGGAAAAAGCGGCTCCTGATGGATTCTATAGTACATCAGGATCCATAGATTCCACCAGGATCCATGGAATCCACTAGGATCCATTTTGATTAATGAGTTTATATCAATTTTTTAAACAATTTGCAGTTGCTACGGAGAACAGCGAGACTCATATGCGTAGGATCTATGACTTTGATCGTGTTTTGAAAAAAATATGAGAAGCGACCACTCATTTTTTTATGGATCTAAATGGTCTATCTATCGTTTCTTGAATCTAAATGCTTAGAAAAAACTTGTAGATTTTACTCTACACAAAAAGAGAAGAATCGAAGGATTCATTTTTCATATTAATCTATGACTGAGAATGTGTTAGAATAGTCCTGAAAAATTTATTTAGCCTTTTAGTAATATAGACAATACTGTTGAAAAGAAGAATATTATTTTGTTTTTACCGATTACTTTGTCTGTGTATTGATTAATTCTTCATCTTAAATTGAAGAGTTCTAACAAGTACATAAATATGACTTGGTTTACAACGATCGGTTCAAATATATGAACTGACAGCTATGAACAAATTTTGTTTCAAATATAGTAGGGAGTGCTATAGCAAAAGGTAAAAAAATTCATGAGCTATTGATGCTTACTAGGTAGTTAATAAAATCATCACACTATCCCATGCTCTTATGAAAGAAGTTTCAAATTTCATGTGTTTCTTGTGATTTACAAGTTATATTTTTAACTTCTTCCTTGGCACCAAAAGAAGTTGCTGCTTAACCTTTAACAGGATGTTAACGATTACGAGACTTTATGTTACGAGGGGGAATATCATATTAGTTTTTCTCGGAATAACATGTTTTTGGCCGTTAAATACTGAATATGTTACAGAAATATAAAAACCTATGTGTACGCGTTAGTTTTCTCCATATCTCAAGTAGTAACCAGTGTTTTTCCGTTGATGTCTTCATACCATTTTGTCGCTCAAACATTTCTACGTCAGAGCTACACAACGTATTTTTTCTAGAACTTTGTCTTTAGTTGGGATGCTCAATGGAAGACAGACGGGGTACATCAGAAAAGGAAACGTTTTTTTGTGTAAATACATTAATTAGTCTAAAACGTTATTGGTGGTATGAAATAATGCTTTTTTTGTAGGATCGCGAAGAGGAAAGCGAGACGAACAACTTTTCTTAAGGGTCCAGTCATCGATTTTGCTTTTTAGAAACGGTAGACGTTTCAAAAGTGATCACCAGCAAAAATAGCTGGAGTGATCCGAATTACACCAGATAGATGTTCAATTGATTGATAGAGGTATCCTTATCGTGAGTATTGTATTACAACTGTCGGGTCGATTGTCGAGATGTTTCGAGGTCCCATAGAAGACACGTAGGGCTATCAAATGGTATATTTGCTTTTCAGAAGTTCGAATAAAAAAAAAGTTAGCAGATGGGAAAAATGAGACCAGTCATTTTTGCTGTAGTGATCCAAATTACCTCACCTATATTCATAGAGTGATCTGAATTATCCCATGTGGGGTAACTCGGATCAGCTCCACACTACTTTTACCATTTTGACTGATAATTTTTACCGGCATAATATTTTTCGATAATTCTTTCGTGATTCGACAGAGGACACTTTGAACTAGTAGTGATAAAAAAATCATCATTGGGCAATGCAAGATGACTGAGAAAGAACAAAAACAAAATGAATTTTCAAAATTTTGATCCGAATTGCCCCAGAGGACTCTACTTTAAATTACCTACTGTGCGTATATACATAACGAGAGAGAGAGAGAGTAAAGATTATTATGAATGATCTGGGTAGATTTTTACAATTTACAGACGAGTTTTGCATTAAAAATATTAGGAGAATCGTTTTGAAAGAAGAGCTCGCAAAAGATTTCACGGTTTAGTGGCCAACACACTCAAATAACAGATTGAACAAATATGAGGATATTCTTTTCTTTTCTTTTCTTTTCTTTTCTTCCGTTCAAGTTACAAGTGATTACACAAATGTAGGTGTGTAAATAGCTCATGGCACAATACAGTTCCTCTGATTCATGGTAGTCAGGAAAAATAATTTAGTTAGCTATTCATAATACGACCATAGTGTTATCCTTTTATCACCATCGTTAGAACTTTTGCTATTGAGAATTCGCCTTCAGAGCTGGACAAAATACTCGAAGTGTTCGTACTCGAGGGGTCTGGTACTTGTGCTTGGAATTCTTTTTAAATTTTAGTGAACGCATTCTTTATAAAAATAAAAAGAAAGAATAACTAATTTGCTTTCTTCAAGAAAGAAGAACACAATTGATATTTTCTTTGCGAACCCCAAGTTGCAGTCGACGCAAATATGTTGATAAGTATTTGTACGATATAAAATCGTATGGTCGTCACCATATTTCAGTCTTTCTATCCTCTTTTCTTAATCATTTTATTTACTGTCCTTTCATAGCGCTGTTCATACGATTTTACTTTTTATCAAAAAACATTTGTATTCTTGTTGATATCAATTTAGTTGAAAATATTTGTCAGTGCCAGCGATATCGGCTACCATCGAACGAGTATTTTCTCAAAGCGACTGCATTATGCATCCTCATCGAGCATCATTAACGTCAAAAAATGTTTGCTTGCTCACTTTTGTTAAATGTAATAAGCTTTTGTAATGATTTAATTTCTTTGAACACCATAATAAAATATAATACTAGTAATGTTTTGATATTTTGCTCTTATAATAAAGGGTGATCCAAAAGTCTTGGAACTCCATATAAAAATTTTCTTTTCTCCCTTTTCTGCAAATCAAAAAATTCTCAAATTTGGGTATATCATAGTTTGCAACTAGATGAATATTCTCCTAAATTTTCACACTTCTACCCAGATGAATGAATCCGACAACGGATCTTACCGAATCCTATGGGATCCGACTCCCCGTCAGAATCCGATAAGATTCCTGGACACGGACCCTTTGTCGGTTACGACGGAAAAAATCATTTTCTTATTCAAGGTCAAATATCCCTAATCCATTCTCCCCGACGACACCCCGGGGAGTCCCCAGGGAATCCCCGGAAAAGAACGAAATCCCTCGGGACTCCCTGTCATGAGTCCCCTGGGATTTGTCAGGGGACTTCCTGGGGATTCTTCTAGGGAGACTTGACTAGGGGAGCGTTTTGAGCCATCAGGGCGCAAGGGTGATTCGTTAGAGTTGGATTCCGTTAAAATCCAACATTGGATCGGATTGGATCCAATACCAAGGACCCGACTGTAGGTCCGTGTCCAGGAATCCCATACTATTTCGTCGGTTTTATTGAAACACATATGGTATTCAGTATATTCGCTGTCTGACCCTTGTCGGAATTCGATAGGATCCTACTGTCGGAATGATTCTCCCGGGTATTTCTCATTTACAAAGAAGATTTATACACTCAAATAATAGTGCGGATCTTTTTTCCTGTGATGTGGTAAACTTTCTATTGATAGAAGCGTCGAGCATAATTAATTTTTATCATAAATACAACAATCAAGAATACAATGTATTATATTTTTATACGCTGCCATGGTGTTTTTTATTGATTGAATAATCGTTTTTCTTAATCAAAGCTTGTAGTCGTCTGGGTATTGAGTTGATTCATTTGGAGCACATTGCCGGAACGATTGCATTCCAGATTGTTACAATTAGTTTTTTTAATAACAATATATTTTCAAATTCTTCTTCTAATTTCTCTTTAATATAAGCCCATACGTTTTCACTGTGCCATATATCAGACATTTTGCCAGTTTGTTCTACAGGTTTAATACGTTCGTGAAAATCTAACTGATTTTTCAAAATAATTCTATTTATCATCGTTCTCCCAATAGTATTTTATATTAATCAATTCGTTTTTCTTTTTTTTCCTTTTTCTTCTTTTCCTTAATGGAGATCGAAACTATTCAAACTTTACGACGTCAGAGGAAAAAAGATCCGCACTATTATTTGAGTGTATAAATCTTCTTTGTAAGTGAGAACTAGAAGTGTAAAAATTTAGGATAATATGCATCTAGTTGCAAGCTATTATATACCCAAATTTGAGAATTTTTTGATTTGCAGAAAAGGGAGAAAAGAAAATTTTTATATGACGTTCCAAGACTTGGATCGCACTTTATTTTATTTTGACATGTATATATAGTACGTTATAAAACATTAAGTCTATTTTTCCTAAAGACTAATTTGAAAAATTCTAGTCTTGCCGATACCATGGTATGGATACTCGTATTCGAGAAAGCCTGTACTTATCCAGCTATGTCACTCTCAATACTTGAATTAGCTGCTTTTATCTTTTCTTCGTTTTTGTTTTTGCTGCTTTCTCCTTCTTCTTCTCCTTCTTTTTCTCCTTCTTCGTCTCCTTCTTTTTCTTCTTTATAATAACGCGTTTGGGATTTGCCGAGCAGTGCTAATCGCTTTTTTATGCAATAACGCATAGGTTTGAACACGAACAAAAGGAAACGAGGAACTCGAACAAAATTTCTTTTTTGTTTATATGTTTTTATCGTATCGTTTTCTCTTTTCATTATGGTGTATTGACTGATGATGAAGAGAGAAAAAAAATAAAAGAGAAATCATTGTATTTCTTTAAAAATATTTTCTATTATTTGTTTTTTCTCGCTTAGATAAATTTTCTTGTCAATGCCAACGACTACGGCAAATAAAATTATTAATGAACAATGTAAGACTCGTTTAAAAAAGGCTTTTTTTGCTGAATAAATATTCCATTTTCAATTACTTTTCATATGCTAATTGATTGTCTTTTACTTCTAGACACACAAATTGATCTATCCACAACAACTCTATCGACGTTTGCGGCTAATCGCTGTGAAAATCAAACACAATCTCCTTTGGATGAAATTCAAGATCGAATTAATGTTGTTGTTCCCTATTTAGTTATATTGGGTAAATGTACAATTCAAATAGAATAGAGCAGATGTTGCCTTTTGCTTTCGATTTGAATAAACAATGTTTGTTCTTTTACTTTTCTTTAGGTACTATTGGCAATGGGCTGTCAGTTATTACATTTTCTCAACGAAGCTTACGCACAGTTTCATGTGGTTGTTATTTATTGTTACTATCCATATGCGATACAATAGGATTATTAATTATGTCACGACCATATTTTTTCAAACGATTGGATATGGTACATCATCTTAATTCCAGTTTGTTTTGTGGTTTACATTTATTTTTAACAAAAATATTTGATGAATTAACACCATGGCTATTAGTTTTTGTCGCATGTAATCGTCTTGTTTTATCACGATATCCACGTAATGATCAATGTTTTCAAACAGCACGAGCTGCTCTATGGAGTACACTGTGCCTTTTAATTTTAATTATATGTATTAATTTACATCTATTATTTGGTATCGGTGTTGGATATTCGCCATCACAACCGTGTACATCTGTGTGTGGTCCATTAACAAATTCGCCATCTTATTTATTTTTCTATAAAAATGTCAGCCCAATCATTGACTTATTTATAAGTTTGATAATACCATTTTGTATTATCTTTATTGCTAATATATTCATATTAGTCAATGTTAGACGTGTAAAGAAACAAGCGACACGTATACGTCATCGAAAACGAGCAAATAGAAATGCTCGTTTAAATATTGTTTTACTTGCGGATCTCATCACATTTATAGTTGCTACTTTACCAGTTTTATCTGTTGAATGCATATATCGTTTCACACGTACTATTGAACGCGCGAAACAATTTGATCAAAATATAAATATTGCATGGGTTATAGCAAATAAATTTTTTTATTTAAATTATTCATTATCATTTTACTGTTATGTTTTAACTTCATCATATTTTCGGCATCATTTTCTTCTTGCAATAGGTTGTAATAAATTAAATAATGCTTTCTTTACAACAACACAAAATAATCGTCAACGTGATCCAACATCTGACTTTACAGCGAAATACGGTAATCGTTTATCATCAGCATCGAAGAGTACGGTAAAATGTGGTAATTCAAATTCATTGCATGTAAAAAAAAAGATTGTTCGATCTTCGGAAGATAGTATGGATATGAGTAATGCTATCAATGAAATGGTGCCATTACGTGAAAGGCAAGTTCCATTAACAATACTACTGGTAGATTAAATTTTGTTTAAAAACGAAAATACGTAAAGCTACTCAATCATTTTATACAAGACAAGAAAATAACTTTTATATTCGTTGTGCGTGGTTTTTGCTATGTGTCAGTCATGAATCTCAATGCCTTTTGATATTGTGATTTTTAAAATGAACGGTGAATAGATCTAAATTCAGTTAATATAAATAAAACAAAAGTCTCAATAATCATTTCAAACATTCAAATAACTCATTCAAACGTAACCAGTGAGTTTAATTTAAAAATTAAGTACACGTATTAAATATTGAATTATATATATAGAGACAAGTTATTTGTGTAAGTGTATAAATGATACATTCAATTTTGAAGTCATTAGAGTCTTTTATTTTTTTCATAACAGATTTTTATGATTCATCCGCTTGCTTGTCAGCAGACATCCGTCTGAAGCTTGTGCTTGAAAATTGTCGTTGGTTATTTCCTTTGGAAAATAACATTGTAGTAGTCTAAGAAACGCCATCAATTCTGGTAAATTAGTGTTAACATATAGAAAATACTTTGTCGTTATAGTATGTTAAAATTTCGGATATTACAATAGGTAATTACTTTAAACAGCTATTCAGATTTTTTTTCTGCACCACATGAACTATATGAGACAGAATAGAAAAATAGCTCGTCAAAATAAATTAAAGAGAAAGTCTCAACTCTCTTTTTTTTAGAGAATAGATTTATACCTATATTATACTTGTGCAGTATGCATGATAAATTAGCAATTAGTTTTTTACTGTTTTGCTGAAATATTTAGTTTTGTATACTAGTAAAGTTTTTCAAAGCTCTAAACTATTTAATTAAAGTAACGGTCAATAAAATGATGCCTCACGTACATTATAATCTTGGACTTGAATGCTCTAAAAGAGTTTCCATAATGAAAAAAATGGTTTCTAGCGTTAAAATTAAATTTAACAATAGAGCTTGTCATGCTAACTCTGCTACCGGACAGGGAGTGCATTACTGTTTGTATGCATTTTGCTTTTCTCATTACTTTTGAACAGTTTACCAGAGAAACGAAGGCAAAATCTTATTTTGTTCACTAAAATGTGCTGTACACAGTGTACTATGCAGTTTTCCTGCCTAAAATATTCTTTCACCCATCTTACGAAAAAACACAACAGAATAAAAAATAGTTTAAACATATTAAGTACATTTTGTATTTTTCATAAGACAGGTGAAAGAATCTTTCAGACAAGAAACATGAAAAATACACGGTGTAGAGCACATTTTAGTGAGCAAAGTAAGATATTGCCTTCGTTTCTCTGGTAAACTGTTCAAAAGTAATGAGAAAAGCAAAATACATAAAAACAGTAACGCATTCCTTGTCCGGCAGCAGAGTTACCCGAACAAGCTCAATATCAATCATCTTTTTTTTTATGTAGAATCAAATAGTTAGAATTATTTTTTTTATTCAATTGACGATAAAAGATTTATTCCAAAAAATAGAAGAAATCACGATAACTACTGAGTAAAATATAGGCGGATATCGATGCGGTTTACTCTTTTGTTACTAACAATGGAGGTGCTTGTACTGTCCGTGAGAAAAACGGGATATTTTCGGATCAAATGAAAGCTCTCGTAGCCAAACCAACAAAGTTAAAATATTAGCTGCTATTGGCTTGTCTAGAGGGAGATATTCGATTTTTCAGTGAATTTTCTCTACAGGACCGGCATTCCCAGTATTCTCGAATTTGAACCTAACACTTGGTATGCATGAAGGTCTCAAGAAGACTAGCTTATAGAAAAAAATCAGAAGTTTTGGAAAAACTCTCTTCGAAATATAGATATCTCAAGCATACAGCTCAATGGGGGAAAAGGCAGATTCTCAGGATTCCAAATCCCACAAAAATCTCTGGAATCCCATAAAAATCCCGAAAATCCCGAAAATCCCAATAATCCCATGAGAAATCCCAGAAATCCAGAAAATATAATTTATATTCTGGATTAATAAAAGTATCAATCGAAGCAATTTACGAAACAAACTATACAGATAAGCTAGTTGCTGTGAATCAAGGGCTTCCTGTGGTCATGTGCTCTGGACAAATCTTGATATCTGAACAGGTTAAGCATATGAAAAAAAAACGTTCACCTAGGAAATGATTTTCCTCAATAGTTGTGTGCAGCTTTTCAAGCCAGTTGATAAAACAATGAAGCCTTGACACTGAGTTCTATCAGATTTTCAGGACTAGGGTGATGATCGTAGAGATTAAATATGAATTTCTGGAATGCCATTTGCTATTATAAAAATTCCGAGAATTCATGGGAATCCGGGAATCCTGAATCCACCTTTCTCCCTTGCATGTGAGTCTTCGTTCGAGAAAAAATGACATCAGTGTTTTCTATTGCAACAAAAACAAATGACTACATTCATCGATCGCTATTAAACGAGTGAAACTTTGTGCAAGATAATAATAGATCATTTTGATGGGAATCAATGAATTTTCTCCATTTGTTTTTTTTATAGGAACTGAACTGAATTTTCCCTATTGGTTTCTTTGTTTAATATATATAATTAATTTTTTCTTTCAGTTCTTTTTGGAAGAGAAAGATCTTATGTCACGAGAAACTATCTATTATTAGAATGCATTCACTTATTTGCCACTGGACCATAAAGTCATGTGTATTAGCACTATTATTCTATATTCTCCAGTGTTCTTCAAGAGCTATAACTAGATGCGTCGAACAAAAAGAGAGAAGTCGACGTGCAACTGTTTCTAACTTTTTATTTGTTCTTTTTTGTTCAACTGAAATAATGAAGATAGTATGACAAGAATCATTTCAATAATTAGACGAAGTTTAATTATTCTTTATATTTATATAAAAAAAAAAGAACTAAAGAAATAAACTTTCTACGGATATAAATTAAACATTTTTCTTTCATGTTACACTATCAATGTTTTTCTTCTATTTGTATTGTTCGTTTACCAAATCTGAGTGATTAAAATTATTCAGTGGCGATATCCTAATCATTGCTGGTGGTATTTCATTGATGGCGAACTTTCCTTGAGCTTGAATAATTGGAATGATTCTACGTTTTCCTCGCAAAATACATTTAGCAAAGTGTTTCATGGTAGCGATCCATTCCTTACGAAACCTTCGTGATACCAATGCGTTTGAATAGAATGATGACGCTGGAAATATATAAACAAACAGTTCCGTCATCGCTTGCGCGAAACCTTCAATAGCTCGACGATCGATGGGTTTATTTAATATTTCTGCTGTCAAGCTTGTGTATAAGTTATTCGACATAAATGGAATCGTGGACAGGATAAACATAGCTACTTGAGGAAACAGTAGGACTAATACTTGATGATCACGACTGTTTTTATGACTTTCTGCTCTATTCATTATAGTCATCGCTCTGCGTTGATTTTTCCCCTTGATACGTTTCCAAATTAATAGAGTACATGCAATCGCAACTAAAGGTGGCAATACACCGCCCATGACAATTGTGTAAACGCCATGATAAATAGCCACATCTTTATCAATTACTAAACATCCAGTATTAACAGGTGTAATAATATTGACAAATATTAATGTATAAATAGGTAATATCATCCACATGATTATAATGCCGATTGCTATTCGGCGAGCTAGATTGATTCTGAGAAAACGAACTAGATAAGCACTCGCTGAACATGCAAAACAACGGCCAACACATGCCATGACTAATAACCATCGACATGACATAGCACTCCATTGATTAACATACACACGAATCTTGCAAAAATAGACAAGTGTAAAAAATGGATTTGGACTATTATATTGAGCATAAATCAGTGGTATAATACCCATTGATAGTAAGATGAAGGCAGCAAATGACGATCCAAAAAGGTCTATAAAAAAAACCCACCATGTGACTAATGGTCAATGAAATTCCCCATTGAAAGCAATGAAGATATTTTAAAATTCGATTACCTACATGTACAACAAGAATTCGAACGTAAATTTCTTTGAGAGAAAAGAAACATATTCATAATGGATCCAACAGTACCAACCACAAATACACTCAACTCGATGTATCTAATAACTATTTGTTGTGTAATGGCTAGCGAGGTAGCCAGTGATGTTGCCATATCTAATTAGAATATTATTAGATTATAGAGTACAGATGCTACTATGTCACTTACCAGTAGACGTAAAAACGAAATCTTCGAAAACAGTAAGAACAACGATTATCACTTGTATTGTATTTTGCGTGTGTTGCTCACTATTTTTACTTACAAATGTTAATGAAGTAAGTCAATAAAGGAAATAAAACTAATTGAAACAGCTACAGAGAAATGTCTGAATGTGTGCGACTTTTGGTTGGTAAATTCCTTTCGAATTAAGTCTTACTAGTGCTTCAGACTATGGCATAAACTAAATGAATACTCTACTGAGAGGAACATTCTTGGATATAACTTGGTGTCTTTAGCAAACATCAGATTATGTTCGTACGGCAGCAGAAACCTAAAGATAATTCATTTTATTTCCATTTAATAAGAAAGATTGGAGCTACTTATGCTTTTATCCGGCGGTCTTCTATCTATTATAATAAGAAATTGTCATGCAAATAATAGGTTAAATAGCAACTGTGACATGCCACAATTATGAAAGGATAGAAATGAAAGATGCTATTCTCATTCAACGTAAAATTAGTCAAATTTACGTTGATAGAATCAGCTTTGCATAATATCTAGCAGATGCTATTTATATATCTTGCTTGATGTAAATTAATTTAAACAATCACTATAAAAAGATAAGGAAATCAATTTTAAACAGTATAGTTTGATCATCAAATCTAAGGTTCAGTCTCATGTTCTCTATCGAATAGTCAGTGAAAATATGAACATCCTTGTTATCCTCTCCATTGTAAGTATATGGTAAATAACTGTGCAAGATTAAACCGAGTACTTATTAATGAACTAATCATCGCACGATTCATTATTTAATTTATGTGAGTAGTCATTGTGGAAGTATGCAATCATCATGATAACAATTCGATGAAATATAATATCCGTAACAAACTTGACCGAATCATCCGAATTATAGTTTTCAGTTTATTGTATTTTGGCATGCCTTAAAGCTATTCAAAAGAAGATTCCTGATGGTTGAAAAAACTGCAAATCGCTTTCCGCTGTACTCATTTGCTCTTTTCAAATTCTCAAGTGAAGTATATTAAAGCATTCATTCGAGAAATACGTTCAATCTAGGAGATTTTAGCTGAAAATTTATTTTATGAATGAACATATTAAAATTTACAAGAAAAGTGCTACTTTAAAATATCTCTTCTTCAAAAAACTTCTTTTCTTGGAAAGTATTACGATAAAATGGCATATTATCTACCATGCTTTCTCATTTTATGTTAAGTTACTCACTATTCTTCTTTCTTTATATAGAAAAGCAAGAAAACCTTCAACTGTCTTTTCATGAAGTTCTTTTTGTTCAAAATAACTAAAGTAAATTTTCGATAAAAACTTCGAAATCACAATCATTAGATGGCGAATTTGCCTCGATCGCTCTATCATTAATACGATAGAGGGTGAATCACGAAGAAGCTAAGGTGCCGCTAAAGCAGAATTGGAGTAAATTTTGTTTCTCGTTTATTTATATATGGTTTGATAGAGCTTGAAAAGTTGATCAAGAATATGTACTTTTTATTTCGATTTCATCTTATTT